TAAAAAGTAGTCTGCTACACAGCCGTTATTAGTGTCGTCGCGCAACGCTCCTCCCCACTAGTTAGTGGGGAGGAGCGTTGCGTGACGACACTAATAACGGCTGTGTAGCAGACTATCTTAAAAGAAACATATTATTTAAGTCTGCGGTCGATCTCATTGCCAACACAGGCAAAAACGATTAAATATCTATAGTTCAATATTACCAGATTTCGTTAGTGCTCCCTTTGTTGTAGTTCGGTGCTGTGTACTACATTTACATTGATTTAGTACCACGAAAAGATAGAATATCTTTCTTTCTACGGGTGGAAATGCTAAACGTGTTATATATCCTAGAAGCGCTCAGGCATAATTGTATGACGAACTTCTACCTGGATGAACAAGAAAGGATATAGAACAACTGCCCAATTTTTTTTCGGCTACGGGTCAAAATGCTAAACGTGTTACAGGCATAATAATATGCCAGGACTTCTACCTGGATGAACCAGAAAGGATACAGAACAACTGCCTTATTTTTTTTTCTACGCGTCGAAATGCTAAACGTCAGGGGCACCCAACGAGAATATAGTTCAAAACCACTTAAACATAGCATTTTTAAACGTATTTTAGTATTCAAACGGTAGATAGAGGTATATTTTTGAAGGAAAGTCAAAATGGCAAAGACAGCTATTTCTTTTAAATACCAGTACTTTTAAATACCCAGCCACTTAGTGCAATTAGCTTTTGCTATTTCTGAGTGGCTGTGCTCTCTTTTTTTCACAATTATTTCCTTTTAATGTCTTTACACTTTTGTATCTAGAGCACAATAAAGATTTTTGTTGTTGTTGTTAAAACATGATTTATGAGCTCATATGATAGCTTCAATTGTAAGAATATTTTCTCTTTATATGTAGGCCTATGCAGTTGTTGCGTTGTATGACCCTCGTTTCTTTCTGTCTGTTTTGTAAAAATTTGGGCAACTTGCAAGAATTATTTGGGCAAATGGTTAACCGCCCCGTCAGGCACTGAAAAAATTGCCCGTACGCCTATTCTGTGGAGTAACACTGCATGCTCTAATTTACATGTAATGTTCAATGGTATTCCTCTTTTCATCTTCATTGTTCTCCTTTAATTTGATGGGCAGCCCTAGTAAACAGTTTTTTTGTTTTGCTTATTTAATTATCCTTTAAAACCACAAATACACAAATCATATACTTCAGTTGTAGAGGTTATACATCGTCCTCGAGGTGCAAGGTGCTGTGAAATGAAATTGCTCAAATTTAAGTGTACTCCTTCAAATAATAGTCTCCTAATTTAACCCTTTAAGCCCCAATGTCCACATATAAATTCTCCATACTGATCTTCATACATTTCTTTAAAGAATTAGTTGAGAGAGTTTGATAACAGATCAAAGCATTTTCTCTTAAGCGATCACTTTGTTAACTCTTATAACCATTCCTCTTGGCAATATATGGATATTGTTAGGAGAAAATTGATGTTGGTCACTATTGGGACTTAAAGAGTTAATTAGTACCCTTCTGACTCAAAAAAGTAATTAATATTATTTATTTAAATACCTGGGTACTAGTTCAATTAGCATTTAAAAATCCATATATAATTAAGTAACGGTATCTTGGCATTGATTAATTTTCACTTTTGTTCCTTTTGTTGACAGTTCTTTGCCCAGTGTTGTGATTTGTCACATTGTCCAGTACTTGAGCCCAAGGGACCTTGGAAACTTGAGTAAAGTCAATCACTACATTTCCATCAACTATTCAATTCACCACAGTTCTGGAAAGGCATCAAAATATCTTGGGATAGAAATAGCAAACTACAGATTGATCCTCAAGTGTTGAAGACAATTAAGTCAAGAGGAATAACAGAATTAGAGTTAAGGACTAACTATCACATTGTGGAAAGCAATATTGATCTAGTACTGCAGTGTTTGCCCCATCTTGAAGGGCTGTCCTTTTGTTCTATCAGGGTCTGGAAGGGTATTTTCGGGATTCGGGATTTGACCAAAATACGGTGCGGGAATCGGGAAAACGATAAATATATTGACGGGATCCGGGATTTGACTGTTCCCCGGGAAGCGGGATTTATGTTTGCGTGTCTGTCGGGAATGCCGGAAACCTTTAAAAACACGAGTAAATTCAAAATATCAATCGAAAGGATCAACCTACATCTTACATTTATTAGCCTTTGTAGAAATTAGACTTTTTAATGTATTTTTCTGAGAAAGAAAAGCGGTATTCGGGAAACTGATGAAAAACGTGGGGGATGCGGGATTCTCGCGAAAAAGGGGCGGGAATGCGGGATCAGGACCCCCCCTTCCAGACCCTGTTCTATAACATTACGGATCTGCACATCTTTGCAGAAGTTTGCTTTGAGTGGCCATTTGGACAAGTTAATGCAGCTCTTTTGTGGATATGTTTTTAAAAGTTATTGGGAGATAAGTCACAGTGAACATTTTTTCACCACTTTATTTGAGCACTTACCAAGTTTGGAAAAAGTTAGCTTTGGAAGAGATGACTTCTTTACCGATGCCAGTGAACTCCAGGTACATGTATTGTGAAACTTAAGTATAATATATAAAAGGTTAATTTAGACATTGTCCATCATTATGGTGCACCTGATATCATGGCTGCATTAATTATGAGAACCGTAATTGATGGAATTTTCTTTGGCTTAGCCTGCGAATACAGCTGCCTCCCATTGTTCCCCACCGCTGAAACCTTTTTTGCGAGAGAGACGTCTGCATTTTGGCCTTAAAAATTCAATTACTGATCAACAGCTAAATCTGCCCTGAATCTAGTCAGGAGCTCTGGTTGAGTGATTCCATTCTTTCATCTGTTGATTATGAACAACAGAAAAAAGACTGAAGGTCACGGTGACCCCAGTTGTAAAAAGATCGTAAGATTTGATCCGGTTTAAACGACAGGCTTCTTGTTGTAGTTAATGGGAAAAAATATTTACTGGCCATTAAAAACTTCTACGTTTATGTGGTCACGCTCATAAGCACGCGCTTCTAAAGGTGAGATACTTGGAAACAAATGACTAAACAAAAGCTCGCACGGCATTTGTTTCTTTGCTCTGCCCTTCAGGTTGATGAGCAAGGCGGTAATTGCTATAAGGGAAAGACCGCACAGACCTCGACCAATGAGAGCGATTCAGTTAACGCTTCACCTTTAATCTTCTAGCTCGACTATGAGTACAATACTATGAGTACTGAGAACAATAGCCATTCCGCGCGATGAATTATTTGTCATTCCATCTCTGTTTTCCTGGCAAATGTCTGAAATATAGCACCCCCGAAGCGGCGAAGAAAATCTGAGAAAATTTGATTGACTGAGTATTTAGTAATCTAGGTGGACACGTTTTTATTTTAGACCAATCAGCAGCCCTACAGGCTCGCCAAAATCCGGGGTGACTCGTAGAAGTATCCCACGATACTACTTACTAAAGAGTCCAATAAGATATATTTATTTCCATAACAAAGGGAGAACAGTTGTGACTAAATCGCGAAAAAAACGTAATTTTGTAATTATTGCAATTTCCGTTAAATTGTAAAATCCGCAGCGCCGCTTCTCGTTAGCGAAAAATCGTTAATTTTGCAAATTTTGTAATTTTTGCAAGGCTTTTGCGAAAAATCCTTAATTTTGTAAATTTTGTAGTTTTCGCAAGATCATCGGAAAAACCCGTATATTTTGTAAATTTTGCAGTTTTCGCGAGCTTATCGCGAAAAATCGTTAATTTTATAAATGTCGTGGCAGAGTTCAATCCTGGAAATAAGTGGGCGTTGGCTACTTGTTAAGAAACCACCTGAGATTAACCTTGAGTCCAAGAGGGAGCAATCATTATTTTATAACCTTTTGCTTCTTGTTAGTCACGCTTGCTTCTTAAAAAATGCAGGCGTTTCTGAAATGTCACACGTCTATGAGTTAGGGGGTGGAGACGTGACATTTCAGACTACTAACTGGTTGGGTGTTGTAAACTTTCATTGTATGCAAATGAGTTTTGTGATGAGCACACGGTTTATTTTCGGCGACGATTGAAATGACGCGCCATGTTCATCACCTTTGCTTGATTTTCGTGCATTTACACACGCGTTCTAATCAATTCAGAAACAAAAGAATACTTGACAGTCGACAAAGTAGGAAGTGAAAAACTTTTATCGAGGAAATCCTGTTTTGTGTAGAATTAATCGCCTAATAGACTGCGAGCGGTCTCTTATTTCTCTTTTGAGCCACAGTAGGACGAGAGCTGAACTTGCCCACTAGTCGAACTCAAAATTTTTCTCGAGCGCAAAGCGCCAGCTAGAAATGTGTTATGTTTTCGGTGTGGCTTAGCAAGCGAGAGAGAAGCTAAGGACTTTAAGAAAGTCTAGGCGAGAGCATAATTTTACTTATTTGCTCTCCGCGCGTTGCTCTGAAGAAAGAAGGGCGACCTGTCGCGGTCTTATCGCCTCTTCATTTCGTACCAAATCTCCAAGCAAGCGAGACTCAACGCTATTGAGAGCGTTCTTGTTCTCGTACCTTTTTTTGGTGGGTTTGTTTGAATTCTCTTTTGATTAAAAAAATTACCAGGGTGATCAGCTACTGGCACTCTAGCCTTCTACACATCCGATTTTAGGAGCGTTGCGTGACGACACTAGAAACGGCTGTGCAGCAGACTACATGCACTCGTCCGAGTGTCTGTTTTTTGAAATACGGTGGAGGGGTATATGATGGATGCACAATAGTCGACTTAGGGCCTCTTCACATGAGCCCGTTGACTGGGCTGGCCCGGATGCAGGGACCGATTTCACCTTGTATTCATATCGGAAAATTCAGCCCGGTATCCGAGATGGCCAAAAAGGTTTCTGGGAAACTAACCACCTACCCCTCCCCTAAGCCATCATTTTGCTCTAAGTGAGAGGTAAGTGTTAATGTTAGCTTAAGGGAGGGGTAGGTAGGCAGTTTCCCAGAGAATTGATCCATTTAGTTGTCTGAATTAAGCCCAGTTCAACGTCGCATTTCTCATGTGCCCAATTAGATGCTAATTAACAATTATTCCTCGAGCCCGAATGGGCTCTGAGTCAATAGCTCATGAGGCCGAAGGCCGAATTGGCTATTGACTCAGAGGCCATGAGGGCGAGAGGAATAATTGTTTTAGTAAAATCCAACTAGTTGGTCAAAAACATCGAGACAAAACAACTTTAACTAGTTAACGCTATCTTAAAGCCATTGTTTTGGTTTTCAAAGCCGGCGCTTTTCGCTACTAGTGGGCTATAACATATAGGCTAGTAGTAGCTCAACCAATCAGAACACAGAATTGATAATAGACAACTAGTTGGATTTCACTAACGAGGAAAATCTATTGTTATCGCCTATTTGCATTAGATACGACACATATTAAACAAGACGTTTCAAAAAATCCTTAGAGAAAAAAGTTCTTTCAACACATTTTCTGAATGTACGTGAACGGTTCACAATTGCGTTAATGTTTTTAAATAGCATTCAGTTTGTCAGAATGTGGACGTGGACGAACAAGAAAAGTTCCATCCGTTACCATGTATTCAATCTTTTTTACTGTAAGCAAATCCAGCCAGCTTAGATGCTGAATTATTAATTTCTTTTGCCTTCTTGGCTTGGTTCAGTGTGTTTGTAATATCTTCATTTTCTTCATCAGATTTGTCTCTTTTTCTTTTCTTCTCCCCTTGTTCTTGGTCAACAGATGTTTCCTTAGCTTTTTCGTTCCACTCTGCTTTCTCCTCATCGCTGAGTGCTTTCCATGTTCGCATAGCTAATTTAACAAGATCTCCGCTGGACAGCTCTGTGTTGTCTTCCGTTAAAACCGCTTTATTGTCGCTGAACCACAGATTGAATCCATTGACTCTGTAAAAAGGCAAACAAAACTTTTGTTTAAAGCTTTGCGAATGGCACGACTTCAAAATTGCTTTCTCCTACGCAGAAATAAAGAAAGAAAAAATTGGGAAATTGCCGTAGCACGAAGGGGGAGCGTTTTAGGTTTGAACGAGAACCTGCCATTTCTACATTTTTGTAAATGGACTTACTTTTTAGCAGTTGACTTTTTCTTTTCAAGTTGTTCTTTCTCTGTCGGTGACTTGTCGGCTTCAGCGTGAGGTTTTTCTTTTCCAGGCGGAGTTTTCATCAGTGTAGTTTGCTTTCCTTTCCTTTTTCTCTGGTTTACCTTGGATTCAGGAGCTGTAACAAAGCGATTGACACACAGATATTAATACAATAGACCAGTTACACTTGTGGGCTTAGAATCCTCGCCTTTGCGTGAACGTGAGGCTGAGGTTGACCTTGTTTTGATACAAACCTCTCTCCTTTTCCTTTGAAAATTATACTTAAGAAATACTAGTTAACATAAGAACAACATGATTTACACAATGAAACAGGAAGGGTTGTATGAAGACAAGATCAACTCCAGCTCGTTATTATTTGAAACTGTCAATTTTGGTAGTGTATTTGCTTATTTATTCCAAGGTTTGCACAAAGCAGGTGGTAAATATGGCTACAAACATTCGGCGCAACGATTCTGGAATCGTTTTGGTGGACAAGCATTGTTTATGATTGGTCAATGGTTGTTTTGGATACCATTGACCAATCATAACTAACACTTGTCCACCCAAACGATCCCACAAGTCACTGCATCCAAAGCTTGTACCCATGCCCCTTTGAGTTTCTGAAGTAAGCAATTGACCATTGAGAACCCCAGGGTAATTTTTGTAATTTTTGTAGCATTGGTTTGAAGTTGATTTTGGTCTTTGATTAACTCTCTTTTTTTCTTTCCCTTTTCTTTTTTTTCCTTATTTTCATCATGTTGATTTTCATCACCACTGCCATTTCACTTCTAATTAAGTTCTAAGAAATTTGTTTAGATCTTTTAACTGATATAATAATGGTTCAAATTCATAGTTCAATGAAATATGACGTGGATAGTGTTCTTTTCAACCCTTTGGCTGACTGTATCTTGTTGAAGTTCGAAAAAGTAAGCAGACTATAACACCGCAATTAAATTTACAATCAGATTTTTTATGAAGACGCCTGTGAACTAGACTTACATATCTTGTTTTTGTTCATCAGCAAAGATTTCTTCTCCTCCTCTACACTGTCAAAGAAACTTTTTCCCGAGGTTTTCTTTTCTTGACTTCCAACCCTGAAAGGATTAGAGCGGCCTTGACTTGAACTAAAACTCGTCATCGGTGTTGGTGACGGTCGTGCTGACTTCATGGGAGGTTTAGGTTTCTGTTGTTTGGAGCCAAGATCCCGGCTATCTAGTCTGGCTAAGCCTTTTCTTTCTGCAATAAAAACGCAGCATGTGTGCAATTTAAGTACAACACAGAAAGTACGACTCAGATCTATAGCACTGCAGTTTGTTCATATAATCGAACCTTCTTCAAATTACTAGAGAACTGTAATCGAACATACTTATCAAAATTTCGGGCTAGTCGAAATGACTTTTGGGCTAGTACATGCTAGCTACAGCTTGCCAGAATATGACAAACTATAAAACTAAATCCGTGTTAACATTCAAAGGATCACACTTTGACTTGAAAAATACCTTAAAAAGTAGCAATTGTGTAACGCGCATAGCACCCAAGTGGGGTGAAATAAAATGACTTGTGACAAGTACGAACTCCTGACAATTCTTTCTGAAGTGCGTGTCCTAGAAAGTAAAGTGAGATACCTCACTGGTCCTCACTAGTCAACCGGGATAGTCAGCGAGAATATTTTTCACCCATTGAGATTTGAGCTCTCGGCACAGTTATTCGAAGGCCGATTAGCGCTAACCCGGGGTTAAATTTTAATCCGCGCTTCTCTTTCAAGCGCATCTAATTATGAAATTGTGGAGGGCAGCTTTCATATCTAAAGCATAATTTCGCACTAACCCTGGGTTATCTTAACCCAGTTTTAACAACCCAGCCCTGGATTAGATCTTCTAGAGCTCTAATCAAATGAGCTACAAGGGCAACCTTACCTTGATTGCTTGAAATTTGAGACTCATCTTCTTCCATTTCATCATCCACTTCATTTTCATCCATCTCTTCTTCTTCTTCCTCATCTTGTTCCACTTGTCTTGGTGCCATGGGAGACGACTGACTTTGTCCTCTTGAAGGCGCTATCCTGGAGCTCTGCCGAACTGGCCAATCAGCTTGTTGATATTCATCATCAGATTCTTCGTCAGCCTCAAGCGCTGCTTTTTGGCGCGCTAGATCATCCAATCGTTTGGCTAGGTTCATTCGTCGACTGCGTGCGGCATATTTTATGGCTAAGCTCACCTATTGAAAAAAAGGAAGACAAGAATTGTACCGGTAATTGTCACTCTATGAATTGCAGCGAAAATTTTGGAGGAAGGAGGTTTGCTGATTTAAACAAAAAGAAAAAAAAAACAGATAACAGATGAAACCAAAAAAAGACTTGCATCGAGTTTATAGTCTTATACTTGTATTAAAAATTAGGAAACAAACTCGATCACATTCGTAGAATACCAAAAAAAATTCTCGCCCCTAAACACCCATCACCGACCCACTCCTACCCCTCAAGTTAAATGGTCGGCTCCTCGACACTTATTGGAGAGCTTTGGATTCGAGGACGGGAACGACTACGAGTACGAGATTTGACTTAAGGTTTTTTCGCGTATTCTCAAATAAGACACCCCGGAAAGCTTCATTGTTTGTTTTTTTTTTTTCACCAAAGAAATACCACTGTTATCTCTATAGAAGGAGGTTAAGCCCTCTACCGATCGCAGAATGATAAAACCTCTAAAAAAGTGAAGAACTTGTTTCCGCCATCACAGCATTCTCGCTAAAACTCGTGGTAGGATGGCGACGGCTATCACGTTTTCCCGCCAAAAAGACGCTGTTTCACGTGCGCGCACTACTTAGTATTGAAAAAATCTCGTTCACGCAGTCGTCCTCGTCTTAGAACTAAGGTCTCTTTTAACAAAAACATAGCCCCTGTACCAGTATATCATGACTGTATGTTTTGAAGTAAAACTTCTTTACTTACGGAGTGGGCATCAGGTAATAGCTCACACAGCTCCGCAGCACGAAACTCTCTATCACTCTTACAAGCCAGCTGAATAACAGAAAACAGAAAAGAAAAATAATTAGCAATTATTGGACGAGGTTGAGCAAAATATCGTGATTTGTCAGTGGCGAGCAGAGACACTGACAAATCAAGACAAATCACGATATTGCGACATTGCGCATGAGCACACCACTATTTGAAGGCAGTTATTTGCAGGTCACGTGGTGGGCTGTCGGCCAATGAAAAGGAAGAAACATTTGCATCGAATGATAAGAACATTTATTTTATTACTCTGTCATTGTTAAAGGAGTAGACAGTTAAACAAGGATTTTTATCCTTGCGTTTGTTTTTAAGTGCTAAGTGAAAACCAGGGCCTAGTTCCTCAAAAGGTGGTAACGTTTAATCCACGGTTAAGCCAAGAAACAGTAAACGTGCAGCTTTTAGTTCGGGATCGGGTTACGATAACACAAAATGATAGTCAAAATAACCCATAGGATACCGAATATGATACTAAAGGGCTAGTTCTCCCTCTGCAAAAAAATATCAGTCAACAGACTAACATTTCTACATCTTTTATTTACGTAACAGACGTAAGTTTATGAAACACAAAAATGTTTTTCCATTTTCGGACATTTTCAAAACTACAAAGAACTTACAGCAAATAACTTCATGATGCCCTGAATTTGCGCAGTCTTGATGCGTGATGATGCTTCATGGTATCCATCACTGTCCTCTTCATCAGCTGCTCCAAGTAATATATTTGATCGAACGTATGCTTCCTGTGCGAAAAATAGTCAAAATAGATTTGAACCCTTTCTACTTGCTAATATTCTTTTAATTATTTGATACCTGTAAGGATTTTAAAAAGGTCATTTCCTGGTATTTAAAAACTCTTACTAACCGGGTTCGAGGTCGGTATTGTAAGTAAGGGATCCAGTTGTTCGCGCTTAAGCCATAAATGGACGGCGAAAAACAAGAACACGTAACTTTCATTTCGAACCAAGAACATAACTTAAGTAATTTATTTTATCTCTGAGGTTAATCAGGGGCGTGGGAAAGGAGAACTTTCAAATGTAGCGGGCCGTACAGTAGCATACAGCCAGCAAGATTACCAATCATAGCGCGCGTACTGTCCGCGAGATATAAGAAAGTTTGCTTATTTCGTTAATTGAGAGTCCTACACTTTAAATCCGACTAGACAGAAACAAGATCAAGGCTATAAGAAGCAGAGACGCAGACAAGATGCCCGAGTATTATTAATCACACTTATGTACAAGTCAAACAAAAATCAATTTGAAACTTTGTCAGGCCGTTTCTTCTTTCTCTCCATCGTTTACAGTCACCACACTTTGACGTCCTCACGCCTTCGTCCAAGTTTCTTTGAGAGGACATCACTCAGAGGAGACATATTCAAGCAGTAACAACAACAACTACGACTTTTATTTAAAAACGGTTAAAACTTAAGCTAATACATCTTATGGGGCTATGTGTAGTAAAATTTCAATGGAACAAACAGACTGTTTAAGGAATTAAACAGACAACCTTACGCCTTAATACCGTGTTAACAGTTAATTCTAATGTACGATAACTATGTGCAGTTAAATGTACTAGCGTATCTCCTATAGTACCTCTAACTGTCCTTTCTCTGTTGCCATTTCACATAACGGAAGCTGTAATGGGAGCAGTACCAGTACAGGGCGTGGCAAGGTAGGGGGATATGTAGACCCTTTGCAGTAGATGCACCTAAGAGTGATGACATAAAACGAAATTGTATTCATGGAAAGCTCAAGCAAAAACAACGACGACGCCAACGACAACAATAAAGAAATAAAAAAAGATTTATCAGCAAAACAACAGTTCTGAATCACACTTTAAGTTATTTTTTTCTTCCACGTCAGGCCCTGCACGAGTTTTACCTGAGACTTCCTAATCCTATGTTTTATGGAGGACTTGAAAACACCACGAAAAATTTTCCTTTCTCTTTTTGAACTTGGATACTACCCTTTAGAATTCAACTCCAGGAAAATTCGCCCCTATTTGACAAATTAAAACCTGTCAAACCCTTCCAGAGTAATTAAAAAAAGGCCCAAATAGGAAAACTCCCCAGAAGACCCAAAAGGGCAGTACATTTTACCACTTGCAAACTGAGCGTCTGACTGCTGGTTTGAGATTTCTACCCCACATCAAAAGATATAGGCAAAAATGTGATTAACAGAACTTACCGAATTTGTTGGCTTTTTTCATCCAAACCAACAACCCAGTAATTGTCTGACTTATTCTTCATCTGGAAGAAAACTCGGATGGTCAGGTGCCTATTAAAGCATTTACATAACAAGAAATATTAAACTGACTAACGTTGTTTGACGTTTCGATGTTTCTAACATCAATATCAAGAAGTCAACTCCTTTAACAACTTTGACACAAGGAGCCCATACCTGGAGCGAGCAACTCCCATACTATGCCTATGTCACGGCGTTTTTACGGACCCGTTTATTTTTAGACACATTTTAGGGCACTTTTTCCCGCCAAAGTAGAATCTCCACCATGTCTATGAGCGCATTCGAAGTATTAGATATCAAAAAGGAAAACTAAACGTAATTAAAAGGCAAAAAGTATCATTTTTAGGTCTGTTGGTTTTACTGACTGGTTTGTGAGCTTTTGTGAAATTTTAAAGATATTCAAAATTCGCGCCAAAACCGTTCAAAAAAATGAACTGGTCCGTGAAAACGCCGTGACACAAGCGCACGGAAGTTCCTCGCTCCGGGTTACGGGATCCTGTTGACACCTAACAGTTTACATTCTTGATAATGATGTTAGAAACGTCGAAGTTACTCAGTTTAATTTTTCTCGTTAAAAACAAAAAGACAAAAAATAAACAAAACAAAAAAATCTTTGGTACGCGAAAATACGTGGAGAAACGTAACTTCAGCGTTCGGGAGCGCGAGTTTAAAAGTGATAACTACATAGCCGGAACGCCGGATATAACCTTGTAGCAAGCGTTTGACATTAACTAAAGTAGCAGCCAGGTAAGCTGGGGAACTGAGTTTTCAGTAAGTTGATATGTATGAGAATTGTGACGTTTCTTCAATTAGTGGCAAAGGTATAGGCTGACCGCCAGGCTCTTGATTAGTGCAGACAAGAGAAACAAGCGAGCGAGTGGTCAAATAGCGAACGAGCGAATACCTCAATCCGCCTACTTTCTGAAAACTGTTGCTCGTGTCAAAATGTCAAAAGGTGCGGTGTAGGAGGGTTTCACATACTCGACATGTTTGCGCAAAGGCAAATGATTGAGGCAAGTGTTGAAGTAAACTGCCACAATTGACCAATCATAGGGTATACCAGGGGCTGGTATTAGAGCAATGCTTACAGGATCCACTACGCCGTCCCCGAAACCCCGTAACCCCCACGCGGTTTTCGCGCAACCTTTTTCTCCATGCGCTTTCCTCACTATCTTGGAGCCTGGAACAGGCTATGGCAGAAGCGACTCGGAAAAAAAATGTTTGTATATCACCCACTTTTAACTTTTATTATTATCTGGCGTTTCGAGGGAACAAATTTCCGCGGCTAATGATTTTGCGGTAACCGTGTTTGAACGCGCAGAATTAATTCTCTAGGTTCCATACCAGAGTGTGCGAGAACTTACATTGCTCTTAGTGATGCAAACAGGAGACCATATCGCAGTTCCAAAGGAACGGGACAGGACTCTTACAACCCCCACTGAATCAACAGTAACTGGAGTGCCTACATCAGAGAATCTAAAGTGAAAAAGAGCAAGAAATGGTTAAATCGTGGTCACAATTTATTGAACACATAAAAAGAATTTGAATAAACTGGCAAAAACTTGTTTCCACCGGGTTCGTACTCTTTTGAGCTCAACAAATTCCATGACTTTTCCAAGACTTTCTCAGTGACCTTCTCCTGTTTTCCATGACCTTAATCGCTTAATTGCTTGTTATGGCTGTATGTCTTTCGACGTTCGCGTTTCCGACCCTGTTGTACCCTTATCACAATGAAAATTAAAAACCCTAAAGTGCCAATTCAGCCCCTCCTGGAGGCATTTAAGCACAATTTAAGCCAAAACAGCCCCATCAAAAGGCTATTCCACCCCACTCTGGGGCCCCTTAGGTCCAAATCAGCCCTAGGTAATCGGACCGTATTGGCCCTCATTAAGGGAGCCAAATTAGACCCCCCAAAGAGGACTGTATTTTACTCATCGAAACGGCCCCTATTTTTAGGGCTAAAACAGATCTTTCTGATTTACAGTGTACTATGGAACGACCGCAAAAGGTTTTTGTCAGGCTTACCCCAACCACGAAAGCATTGCCTTCTCGCTTAACGTGACCCTCTCTTCTGTGATAAGATTCTGTTTCAAGTCCAGGAATTTTACCGCCAAAGCTTGTTCACCAGGAAGAGGATTCTCCTTGTGATATGCAAACATCAACTGATCCTTGTAGCCTGACATGCAAACAACAGGACCCGCGATGCTGAAGATGTGGCGCTGCACTCCACCAATGGTAAATATTCGCAAGAATCGCTTGTTGGTAGCCACTGCAGCAAAAGAGCTGCCGATGGCCACTGCCTGTAGGATGATTACAAGAAAAATGTACTGAAAACCTACATTTATACATAGACTGGACAGCTAAAGGAAAATTGTTACGACTCACTGACCAAGAGTCATAAAGGAGTAATACATCATTTAAAATAGGAACAGGCAGAATTAATTATTCTTTTTCAGAGAAAGGTTGTTAATACGCCACTTCCACATTTCCCATAATGCACCTTGTTTACCCCCTAAAATTTTGCATAACCTTTGTTTTTCATTTCCCCTGGGTACAACAGCCGTCCTAGGAGAAATTGAAAACAATGCTTTTGCAAAATTTTTGGGGGCAAATAAGGCGCATTATGGTAAACGTGGAGGTAGCGTATTGGTGTACAAATTTCATAGCTTAACTTATATCCCATAATTTTATCATAATTTTTTCCCTAAGGATATGTATATAATCCAGTCCCCTCCCCCAATCCATCCGCCAAAAAATACGCGTTTCTTCTTCAAAAGCCTCGAAAATGCGTTTTCTGATTCAAACATGTTCAAACCTTTTTGTCAGCATTCAGTAAGTTTTACGCTCACTGAGCGCCAAGCGTGCTGCCCCGCGGTCAAACGTCTTGGGCGTTTTCTTGTTTTATTTGCAGGGATTTCATTTAACAGAAAGTGGAAACATGGGCAAGGATGTTAAAAATAATTTGTTGTTTTAACTACCTATTTATTTTCCTAGAATACTACGATTCTTTTAGCCGAAAACGCCTTCGCATCTGAGTTATCTTAAGCAAAATGACGCCGATCATTACAGCAGTTTTCAAAGACTTAGATTTTTGTAAGTACAGTAAATGTCGAAAAGTTTAGTGCTGCGTATTGTATTGCTAATACACAATGTATCTTAAACTCTTTCAACAGTGAAAGTAGCAACCTTAGCTTGAAGTACTTTGCTTCTTTTGCAAATTTCTCTTGTTCAAGGCGGTGAACAAGCACACCGCAGCTAAGCATGAACTACATGATAGATTTGGCTTGTGCGCTTAGTACCCACGCCTAAGATGGGAGAGAAAGCTTGGTTACCAAGGATAATAAATGCTGGCGGAAAAGTTTGAACACGTTTTTATCCGACGGCGTGCTTTGTAAGCTTTTATACAAGAATTACAGGGATAAAAACAACCAGAGAAGCAAAGACTACTTTAATGTGAGTAATTCAATATTATTTGAGATATATTGATGAGTTTAATTATTAGTCAATCAAAACCCGTTTTTTCCACAGAAAATGCCATGGGGCTGCAAACATTTTTCTTAGGTGATCAATTTGTCATTCTCTCTGACTGGAAAGCTTGCTGTTATGAGGCTCAAGTAATCCGGACAGAAGCTAAATCCCTGGCAAAAACAAACTACAGACGCTCGACTAAAATAAAGAACCGGTCGTTTCGATACAAGTTAATTCCTTCGAGGTGTAAATTTGTTCACGTACTTGGCTTAAAGAACGAAGAATATTCACCCAAAATGGTTTTCTTGTTCAATTACAAACTTTACTTGAAGTGAACGAAATCTTTGTGCAATTTCACTGCTTGAGTTCGTATCGAAACGGCCTTGTTTGGAAACGACCGGTTTCCGTAATTAATGACAGAGTCTCGAGGGTGCCCGTAATCTCGGGGGAGGGGGATACGGCTGGGTATGTGTCACTGGCCTCTCAAAGCCCCTACTCTATTATAGTCTATTCTGTGGCCAATTATAGACCCCATCTCAGTCACTTGGGGAAATATGTAATTTTCGCAATCCCAACTTAGTCACTTTCTATTTTTATGAATTGACCCATTCTTTAAATTGACTGAAGAACACTTTACTAGTCTTTTTCATCTGCAGTACAAACATTCTGGTACGTTTGCTAACCGTAAATATGAAAAACTGTCTTACCCAAAAAGTCCCAAAATGTGTGACCCCATTCTAGTAACTCTATTGAAAATGCGACCCCATTATTGTCAATCCAGTCGTGAAAATGCGACCCCATCCAGCGGCACATCCCTATTGGTCTCTTACAAGGAAGTAGCCCCCCCCCCCGGCCCCGCAATAATGGAGGTCCACTTAACACTGCATTTAGGACCAGCTCAACAGTTTTCAATCAAACAGCTCCTTTGTCTCAAGATGGATGTCAAATGTCTGAATTTTAAGCAGCTAACAAAACAATATCCATACCAGAGCAAGCAATTTTACAAGGGCTTATTCATTTTCTGGTGAAAATAGAAAAATACCTGAATTGATTCTTCCCCAGGCATTTCCACTGTCCATTCTTTAGAATTATCCCAACTTCCAAAATGGAGGCAAACTAGCTTACTGCAAAGCAATCAAATCCAATATATTATGTTCAAAACTACTCTCCATAATTAAAAATTTAACATGAGATAAAAATATAGTATCAATTTTTCTTTTATATCCACAAAACTCGCTTCTTTTGACGCAGCGTGCAAAGAAAGTAGTGTCCAATAGCCAGGGGCTAGTGGATTTTGCTATCAGGCTAGTGAATTGTGTTATTAACTTGCCCAACGGGCAAGTGAAGTCTTTTGCGGAATTCAAATTACACAACTGACAAGAACGGTGAAATCAATCTGCTCATCAAAACGTTCTTCGGGCTAGTTGACAAGCTGTAAAAATAACTTTCTTTGCACCCTGTTTTGAAGTCAAGTTAAATACCTAAGCAGAACAAGAATACAATGTGCGACTGTTCCTTGGATATTAATTTCAATCCTTCTCAATATGCTTGTCCAAATGAAAAAGAAATTTCTTCTAATTTGGACAAGGCAGAGAATAGTAGACAATAAAAGCAGCTTGCTTCAGACTGAGCAAGCTTTATAAGAGCAAAATAACAAATAGAAACAAAAATTGCTCCACTCCCACCGCTCTCCCCTCAAACTGAGATCACCTTCAGAACCCCCTTAAGTTGAACCAGCCAGGGGTGAATCAAATTTTGGCTCAAATGTCTTAAAAGGGGAACAATATTAGTGAAAGGGTAGCTTGGGGTGCTTTTAAAGTTAGAATATTTCAGACATTTTAGGGCAACTGTTCCTTCATCAGACTGAATGTAGCCATAGAACAAAAGCTTGTGATATTTTTCTACACAAAGGCCACTGGAAAAGAGCTTAAGAATTTGAAAACGTATTAAGTTCTAAGTTCAAGCTGAGCAACTGGAAAGTTTAATGTACAAAAATTAGTCAACTCTCCCACACACAAGACATCGCAATACAAGAATCTTGGTTAATGGGGCTGGATTGATTGCCATGTACTCAAAAACCAAAATGTCATTTTTTGTTAAGAGGCATGTTGAGTTATTAGCAAAAAAGCTAGCCCTTCAAACCAAGACAGCACAACTCACGTAACCAGCTCATCAAAAACAAAATAAAACAAGATAAGTTCATAAAAATCTCTTTATAACAATGCTACCTGGGCAAGTCATCCTGTGCTTTGCAGGCTAACAGCAGGGCGGTGGATGACAGAGCAGCCATGGAGTGATTCAGATGATTTGTCAAATGCAGGGGGTGATGTGTGCTTGTATCATGGAATTCTACTTCAATTGATGATATTTCATCTTCCGTGTGACAACGCACAATTCCAACTGAATTCCATACCTTAAAAAAAAAAAATTAGAAAAAAAAAACATTAATTGAACTCAAGATAGTGAAGTCACAAGTCCAACGTTCTCCGGTGGTTACATTTGCCCAGTCCTTTTAATTTATGTTCAGTAACCTGATGAAGTTCGTATAAAAATCATTGCCTATCAATGTGGCTAAATGTAATTAAGACAAAGTCAAAACCCAGACGACGTTGGCTGAAAGATGGCTGAAGCATACTTAAAGGAATGGTAGAACAGGTAACAAAAACATGCAACTTGTTTTGTTAAGTGACGTTACACATTTTACTAGCTGTTAAGTATGTGAGTGGCTTCAATCACCCTTATCTTTTTATTTGTTGATAAGATAAATCAGGACTTTGTTACTTTCAGTGTAGTACATACCATAAACCTGTGCATTAGATGAGTGGGCGTGGAGCTCGGTTGGAATGCTGGCTGTAGCACTGGAACAAATGGAGTATGGACTACTTCCTGCAGCAAAATATGAACTACAATTTAATACTGTATAATGGCTTTTCTTTTGGGACTGTAAGTACACACCAAATCTAACAATCTGTTCATTTTTTCTTCCCTACTTGGTTTAATTGATTGTCCCATAAAATACATACTTGAGAAAAACTGATGTGACAAATGAACATGTCTTTCATTTCTGTTTACCATTTAACTCTATCCACTGCAGATTTGTAACTGTTTAACTTTTTTGGTTACCTTATCTCTGTCCACTGCAACAAAGAATTATTTCAGTGGCATGTTATATGAATGGCCTAATTAATACAGAGCTCACTGAGAGACTGTTACATTGAAACTGATTTATCTGCAAAGGATATGTTTCAAGTAAAAAAAGCTTTAGAATTTAAAATTTCAAAAAAATTGTGCCCTGGTTCAGATCCTGCAGCATCCTGTGATACCATATTTCTTGCCCCACGCTCACAAGATAATAACCATTATACATCTTCCTTGTTTTATTACCCAGGTTAAATTTTCCATTTCTGAATCACTTTCTTGATAAATCATTTTTTACTGAAGTTGCATTCACCTTCTTTGGCGCCTGAGCTGCAGACACCTCACTGCCAGTATCAACATCCATGTCATTGTCACCGTCACCAAAGTCTAATGGTGTTGCTAGAGCAGCCTTTAGTTTGCGAATATCTGATGAAAATTAGTAACAATTAGTATGTGTAATCAAATGGTGACGAGTGAAATTAGGGAATAATTTCATGCATGTTTTTTCCAAATCCTTATAATTTTCCGAGCCTTCAGGCGAGGGAAATTATTAGGATTTGGACAAAACGCAAGTGAAATTATTCCCTATTTCACGAGTATTCCATTTGATTACCTATTAATATCATGGGTGACGAATTACGTTAGCAATCTTGGAGTTTTGACATGTTTATCCTGGATCGTATTGATCGAGAACTCCACTCTCTCAAATGTTTAGACCTTAAATTTGGCTTATGAAGTTGAGAATTTTTCAGACTTTTTCGGCAAAATACCTGTTAGAATCCTTCTTGATGTTCTCTTGTGTGTTCAGGTTTTCTAAAGCATCTTTTTGTGCCCTGACATCTTCATTCACGGCATTTTAAAACTTCATCGCCATCTTGACACTGAGACGTACGGAAGGGTTGCCATGGCAATTTTGTAATTTCACATGTAAAATTACAAATTAATGCTGAAATTTCACGCCAAAATTAAGGAGTAATTCATCACCTATGATATTATATCAAAAACAAGGGTGAGTGCTTCGTCATGGGTTCCAAACACCAAGAAAAAGATGAAAGCACAGGGCCGTAGGCCGAGTGAGATCGAGATGAGGCACAAAGCCCGGTGAGTTTTCGACAGTCTTCTCAAATTAATGAACAATAAAAAATTATGCCATGAACTGTTTTCTCTGGTATTGCATTGTTTCCATGAGTTGTATTAATTAATAAAACATCTTATTAAAATGCAATTATTGCATTTTAATCAGATGTTTGTTCTCAGATGAAGAACATGGTTTATCTCAGATGAAAATCTGGTGGTTTTTCATTAGGTATCAAGATTCATCCACGTGACCCACATGGTAGTCATTTATTGGCTTCTGACTGCATGAATAATTAAAAATGAGTTTGCAAAAATTAATTCACAATGACTTTTTTACAAATAACATTTTATGCTACATGTACCTAAAAACAAAACATTTGAGGCATTTTGAAGTTTTTAGTGTAAGCTGAGTTAATTAACAGATGAATGACAGGAAGGCAAAAATAAGGGAAGTGTTTATTTAAATTAGTGTCCCTGATTAAGGTTGACCTCATCTTGTTTTGTCTAGCCAAAAATGGTGACTTGGCCAGATAAAATATTGTTGGCTTTGGTTCAAGGAGCATAGCAATTGAATTTTCAGGAAATAATTATTACAAAAAGTAACCCTGAAATCCCTCTGCCAAACACTGAATTACCTTTAAATTCATCATCCTCGTCATCATCATCAGCCTCCTCATCAATCCAAGCATTAGACTTGCTCTTCTGTTTTTTCTTCCCAACTATAAGTTGTTCATCATCACTGTCTCCATCTATGGCTGTTGCCAGAAGGATGTCATCCATTTTGTCATCCAAAGATGTAGGGGGCTTGAAGGTTTTAAGCTTTGGAAACATCACCAACATACAGTAGATTAATGTACAGAATAAAGATACACAGGGATACATGTAGGCTGGAAACCTAACCAGCATCTCCCCATTTTTTAAATACTGTGTGGAGGCATTTTTTACTCCAAACCACATTCTCTTTTTTAAGTAAAGCACTCAAAGCACATTTTTATTACAGGTTTAAGGTATCATCCACCCTCAAGCACCCTCCTTGCGTTGATCGGTGGTAGACTGCTTTTGCTTTCAATAAATACCCCCATAAACTGTACATTTTCTGAAAGCTTAATAGTTCCAGATTGTTGCTTATTCCTTTTAAAAACTCAAAATATTAACGCGATTTAGAAATGAGAAGCTTTTTGTGAAAGTGGGTGTCACTGTAAATTTAAGTCCAGGCCAGCCAAAAATAAACGGAAGAAGCCAATTAAGATCGCATTGGCTTCTTTTTATAACAGGTTTGACTAAAAAACCGTGTCTCAGATTTTTGTCAAGTGCGTTTGTTCTTTTGTTATAAGAAGTTGAAGTTAGGGATAGTAAATCATTAGCACTACCTGTGAAAAAACTACTCTAACTCAAAAACGAAAAAAAGAAATCAAAATTCGCAGACACTGTTTTTTAGAAAAACTATCCGACAGTAAGTTGGCCAAATTTCGGCCAAATTGGTTCACGGGTTGCCGACTTGGAGTTTAAAACGTACCCTCAACTTGCCCTGATTTTCATTTCGAGAAAACAGTGGAAAAAGAATTTTGGCGGCGTATTACCCGTGACGAGATTATAACACCAAAGCTGTCAAAGTTGATGCATACCAGAGAAGGGACAACAATAGCGACAAAAGGTTAAAACGAAACCTGACAACAATTTATTTCAGAGGCTCTGCTCTGTTCAATACTTTCTGTATGAAAGCATCATTACCTGTTTGCGACGGGCAGTGTTCATTTTCGCACCGGGCAAGCCAAGTTGAGCCAAGCCCACTTTTACTTGATACAGTCATTTTCTAACAGTTCGACACTTCCCTGGAAAAATTGACAACAAACCGCTTCCTGGAGTTTTTCTTGAAGCTTCTCTCCCACTACAATAGACTTTCAAAACAGTCCTTCATCCGATTTTTATATGGCGTGGGACCTCTCGCTACTTCGTCGCCCGCCTTTGTCGCTTCACGCCCAAAAAAGCTTGCCCCACTTGCTAAGAAACTCGTTAAACTCAATTCCGCGGGGGTTTCAATGGTTTTTCAGGGGCTTTGTCATCTTTTAGCATTTTTCTTGATTGTAGTAGTAGCCCCTGTCGCTCTCTGCTAATTTTGAAGCCCACTCTTTGCAAAACGATTTTGTCATCTTCTTTAGTCTTGGAGTCATGTACGAAAACGGACAAGCTTTTTTTTCTTCTTTGGAGGCATTTGCTAACAAAATCCTGGAAACACAGTGAGTGCTAAACTTGTAGACCACGATTTCTGTCAAATTGCGTGATTAGCTTGGTTCAACAGCGACATACGTATCAAGTATGACAGGACTTGTCAACGATCAATTAAAATAATTAGCATAGAAAAAACTTTTGCGCTCCATAAGTCTGCACAGAAAAAACATTTTTTCCTCGAATTTTTTTTTAAAAGAAAGCTCTTGATTAGCTCTATTTAATCATTTAAAAATTGCAAATTTCGAAAAATCATGATCTGAAAGTATTTCAGTCTGTGCCTTTGGTAATGTCCGATACAGGTTATGATGGATACCTCCTTCCTCATGCCTGGCACTAGCTCCTAAGTGCACCTATCATTGACAAGTTATTTTTTTAAAATGACATTTCCACATTATTTTCACTGAGAGGATTACAAAAAAAATCATGTAGTGAATGAAAAAAAGGAATCATAAATTGCCTCAATGCACACATTCATTGTGAGCCAGTTAAAAAATTTCTCAAAGCCCATGGCAAGTTTAACTTTGAGAAGTCAGACCATTAAATATGGTTGCATTAGCCAGCTACTGAAAAAGGCCTAACAAAGAAAGATGTCATGAATCAGGTCAGATAGAATAATGTTAATTTTTTGCAGTTTACTTACTTCATCTTTTGGCACAACATTCTCACATACACCAAACTGGCCCTGTCAGGAAAGCAAAATTTGTTTGGAGGAAGCATTGATTGCTTATTTAATAAACAATCAACGCTTCCTCCTTTTTCAGAAGAGCACAGAAAGCTGAAACCAGCAGAACGAAGCATTAATTTTATAGGCTGGGAGATTTCAGGTCAGGTTCCACAGGTCACAGGTACATTTGTCCAAGTCACTGTTTTTTCAATAAAAAGGGGGCTTAACTTTTTCAAGTTTCAATCCATGTCCATCCTTGCCATTCATTGCAACAGACACAAGGAAACAGTTTCAATCAGCATGCAAAGAAAGTGTCCGATAGCCTTGGGCTCGTGGATTTTGCTATCGGCTCGTGAATTTTGTTCTTAGCTTGCCTGTCGATGGGCAAGTGGAGTTGTTTGAGAATTCAAATTACAGAAGAACTGTGTAATCAATCCTGATCATCAAATTGTTTTTGGGGCTAGTTAAAGGGATGTTTGGGATAGTATATGCTAGCTACAGCTAGCCCGGTAAAACTGACTTTGTACCCTGTTCAATGCGTAAATATGGTTACGAATGACAAAACTGAACCTTTTTTTTGGAATTCAATGGATGCGAAGCTTAAGCTTTTTAAAAAGATGGCTAATAGCATAACATACATGTAGCCCCTTTAACCCTTTAAGCCCCAAGATCAACATACAAATTCTTCAGACCGGCCTCCATACATTTCTTGAAAAATTGGTTGAGAGAATTTGTTAAAAGATCAAAGCATATTCTCTTTAGGGATCATTTCATTAATTCTGATAATCTTTCTACGTGACTATATACTGAAATTTGTCAGGAGAAAATTGATGTTGGTCACAAACGTGATCCACTGCTTGGTAACTTTGGACACTTGATGTCAACACTTCCATGGACATACAGTAGTACAGCTACAGTCATCTTACAAGTTGTGTCTACCAAGCAATGAACTCTGATTTAAGTAAAAACTCACCTGGTTGTCTGTGTAAGCAAGTTCCTTGTTGCCTTTAGGATTCCATGCCAGGCCACAGATAGTTTGACCACTTTCGTGGTTTATTCTGACAAATAAAGGAACAGAAACAGCAAGGACAGATGAGTTTAAAAAAAGGATGTTGAATACTTTTGAATTCCAAGGTGTAATTAAAGAGCTCCATTCGTAAAAATAATGACTTCCCTGGTTGCCCTGTCATTTCCAATTTGGAGTCATTTTTGTATAAATTAGCCTTTCAATAATTTTTATTATTGTCATGAAAATACCACAGTGTATCCTTGTACCCTACCAGAGCCCAATGTGAAGGGTAAAAATGTTTATAAATAATATAACAAAAAAAATGATTCAGTCTACAAAATACCTTTCTATGACTGTTTGGGAAGACATTTTCCAAATGAAGATCTCTCCATTGATACTAGCAGATGCAATGAAGTTTCCACAGGGTGACCAAGAAACAATAGACACTAACTGAAAACATCAGAGTATTAAAAACTTACTGTATCAAAATTCTGCTATTTTTATTTTTATGCTTGAAGATTAGAAGATTCTTATTAAATTGACATGGGACTATACAAATACCTCACTGTGGCCATCTTTTTCTAGGTTAAAGACATTTTTCCAGCTTTCCCGTTCATAAACCTAGAATCAAGAGCATAAAGTCAAGGCTGAATAGCAAATTTTTATTTACCAAACTAGTTGATTCTGATAACATTAAGCTGGGGCAAAAATCTTAAAAAATGTTGTGTCTGTACCAGTAAAAATTAAACGACTATGTTGCAAAGTTACTAATGCTAGAGCATGCCTTTGAAAACAAATATTTAACCAAAAAAGCCCATAATTAATAATAACCATAACATCATTATTGTCAAAAGTTCAGTCTCTGTGAGACAATTACATTTTAATTATGCAGGAGAAGGGATCCAACTTGGTCAGTTACATGTAACAACGGCATCCCTCGAGGAAGGCTGGGTGCCAGGAATATTCAGGGGTTTCCACTTTCAGCAGTAACACCCTCATGTGTACAAGCCACCACCCAGCCAGACAGTCATTGCAGTGAAATACATTGTATTTGACAGAAAGAAATGGGGCAAAGAGAGGGGAACAGGGGATCAAAAACCCTGTCAAAAACAATAATGGGGGAAAATGGGGTCGCACATTCTAAGGATTTTGGGATCATAAAATTCAGGTATGTTAGGATTTAAAAATAGAAATATTTACACCACATTAAGTTTAACAAATGTGTCGGTTCATTTCAGGATGACCAAGTTAAAAGGCTTTGTAACGTAGATCAATGCATAAACAGAAGGTGACTACCTAGGTTGGGTTTGAGGATATTACTTTTTTCCCAAAGTGACTAAGATGGGGTCTATAATATGGCCACAGAATAGACTATAATGGGGTAGGTTCTGAGAGGCCAGCGGCACATACCCAGCAAAAATTAACCCAAGTAACCCCACTGGGAAAAACTCCTCATGCTGCTAAAAACACATGCTCCTCCAAAGATGTTGAGAACTATGTGCATGTGCCTACAGACCAACCACTGACAACTAGCACTGCTGACACTCTTTGCTGAAAACACATTAGAATTGCATTTAAATGCAATATAATATTATTTTTTTATCATCTATTATAAAATAATATTTTATTATTACTACCTTCACAGCTTTGTCCACAGGCACAGCTACATACTGCAATTTATTTCCAGAAAAAAATAATTCAAAATTAATTCAAAAATAGAATTTAGTGCCAGGCTTCTGTAAGCTAAATGTGCAACCTCTAGCCATGAGTCTTTTGCCTGCAGATTGGAAAAGTCAGTCTCAAGACTACTCATGCCTGCCAATGAATTTGTTTTTTCAGCTATTAAAAATAGCTAGCTGACACATTTTTGAGAAATACATTTTTACCAGTATCAATGAAAGAAAAGGAAAGTCCATGTGAATGATTTAATTTCTCCAAAATCTCCAGTGCTAGAGGGCAAGATCATTTTCGCGAGAACACCGGAACTCATAGAATGTACAAGAATACCTTCAGAAAACTTTAGAATACACATGTACATATTAGGATATGACTGGGTCCCCCTAGGAAAATTCCTGGCACTTCCAGGATAATAATCTTATGCCTTTGACCCAAGAAAGGTTGGCAGGTATACAGTTTAAGAAAATCAATGCAATGCCAATGACGACTGGACTGGAAGTACATGAATGTGCCAGCCTAGCATTCCTTTTGCGAGGGACACAAGTTTCCAGGGAATATCCTTTGTGGTAAAAGTGTCATACAGTCTTTATTTCTTTTTGTCAATCAATTCCTCTACATGTAAGATAATAATAGTATCTGGATTGTGAGACATGTCCATATAAATGTTAAAACCACCAGATCAATGGTTCACTAGACATGACAACTGATTCAAGGTAGTTCATAAACTCATTGATGAAGATGCTCATGGATACTGGGTGTCTATACATAACAGTAACCCGAAAAAGTGTTGCCCCTGTACTGACCAGCCATTCAGAAACCTCGAATGACAATTTTGTCACTGGAAGTACTTTGACAACCTCTATACCATCCCTTGACAAAAGTGCTGTCCCACCACCAGTCTGGTCAGCTTGTGGACAATGGCAGAGAGCTTTATATCCTGGCAGACTGAGCTCACTCAGAACTGCTGAATCATTTACTTTTAGCCAAGACTCACAGATCATAAATATATCCACCTTTATATCACATACCAGATCAGTTTAACAAGCAACAGTTTTATTTCTTAAATTCACAGTGAAGAGGAAACCTGATCTCAGATGAACCAAAGAAAATCATAGGATGTGTGAAACAAGGCTCTCTTTGACTGCTGATCTAACAAGAAATTCTTCTTTTGACTCAAAGGTATATAATATTATATGATTGGCTAGAAGAATCTAGAGGTTTATCAGTAGTTGACCAGGGTACACTTACATGTACAACTAGTATTACTGACACAAAACAAACAAGTATTACTGACACAAAACTTTGACAAATTAACAGCACCTCAGTACATGTATTCAAGGACAAAACTCATTTCTCCTTTAATTAGGTGACAGGTGATTATCAAATTATTAAAGTACTCATTTTAACAAGTATGACCAAGGGAAGCAGATACAAAGAGATCCCTGTCAAATTTTGAACTGCAATTAATTTTATTACTGAAAATTCTTATTTTCAACCACTTACAAGTTAATAAAATAATGTTATTAACTTGTAAGTCGTTGAAAATAAGCATTTGGATAACTACACTGTCAATACCTTGCCACTCCCTGGCTGCCAGGCAAGACGACAAAGTGTCCTTGAAATCCTGCAATATAATCAAGCCAGATTTAATCATCAGGGCTGTCATTAAGAGCCGGGTGCCGGGGATTTTCCCTGGCTTCTATGGGTGTGGTCCCCGGCTACTTTTATTGGAAAGTAGAAGAAATATAGAACCAAAACAAATCCCTAGGTGATTGATTCCCTGCCTAATTGATGTATTTTAGTCAAATCCTGTGTTTAGGAACATTTTTAATTTGCCTATGCTATCTAGTTTTTATTGAATGATCAGGTTTGTCAAAAAGTTTTCTAGCCTGCGAAAACATCTGTTTCTCCTTGCTCTTCGCCGCCGGGGACGTTTCGCGAGGAGGAACGTCTGCGACTCAGCAGCAGAAATTCCATACTGATGACGCAAACCAATGTTTACATAATAAATCCAGTAGTCATGGGGTTCCAAATACAAATTTGTCCAATTTTACGTGTCTTCTGGTCAATTTTGGTAAAGTGTTGTGTTCACCTGCCAACGAGCTCCAGTAAAACTCAAATGCTTCTTCTAGAGAAGACTATATTCCACAAATATTGACTATTTTGTTAGGGATTCTTTGCGTTTACATTTGACCTTTGTGGCCTTTTGTCTTTTGTCTGTCATTCGAAAACAATAGCTAAAACAATGTAACTACTCCGTCGACCAATCAGCGCTTCTGCCCGGATTCCGGACAGATTTTACGTCATCAGTATGGAATTTCTGTCGCTGAGTTGCAGACGTTCCTCCGCGTGAAACGTCCCCATCGACGAAGAGCAAGGAGAAATGGATGTTTTCGCAGGCTATAAGATTTCCAATTGCCAGGTAAATAGATGGCTTGGAAATACAACTTTGAGGAAACGTTACGATATTAATCAATAATACCAGATAATATTCCTGGCTAACTGATAACTTTATTTGATAAATGAATATTCAAATCCTTGTATGACCACTGTAAATCTTTTTCATGCAATTACTGATACATTGTTGTGTACTTTCCTTGAGTTTCTACATGTATTAGCATATGCCATTAATTTTCAACAATAAATGGGTTATTATGGTGGGAATAAAAATTTGATGGCTCATTCAAAGGAAAAATTTTTAATAAGAAAGCAACATCTTTCAAGATGTTACCTTTTCCCCACTTTTACCAAAATGACAAAATTTTTTTGTACCATTGTCAAGCGTCTTCTCAAAAGAAGAAAAAAAAATATTTCGTTGTCTATTTTCTTAATGGTACAACTTCATTTCATTTCCTTTTTCATTACAGAAAAAAGCTAGCTGACTAATTACTATTTTTCAAAAGTTTTTTCATTTTAAAACTGTGAAATCATACAAAAATCATACAATGTAGAACGCCCACCTTGCATCATTTACTTTAGGAAGGATAGATAATGATGTCACACTCGTCTGTAAAAGAATGATAAATAGAGGATATTACATGGCCACACGGAGATACGAAATTTCTCTTCGAGTGTTGAAAGTTATTTCACAAGTTCGCTGTGCTCACTCGTGAAATATTTTCAACACGAGAAGAGAAATTTCGTATCTCCAAGTGGCCATGTATGTTCTATTTTTTATGTAAACACCAATGAAATACCAAACCATTTCAATGAAACAGTTTTTTCCTGTGAAAGGAAGGATTTATTATGTAGTCATATATAGCAACGGTGATATTTTCACATGTGAAAATAACATGTTATTTTCACGTGTGAAGATATCATGTTTTCGTGCGAAAGCTCACCTGGTATTTCATTGGTGTTTATATAATAAAAATGCATATGCACCTTAAAAGGAAAAAATTGTCTAGCTAAAACATAAATACAGTAAAAGCTGCTTTTATTAATTTAAACAAATCTCCCAGCTTTACTGGTTAAATTGTATTCATTACACCAGACAGAAGGAATTGTATGTTTAAAGTTGAAGATCCAAAATTACATGGCAAATAAAATGTCTAACCTGATCCTCCAGTTTCCATATCTTCACAGTACCATCACAACTTGACGAAGCCTAAATTAAACAATAAAAAAACATACCTCTAATTATCTGAGTTTGAGGTCTATACTGTAAATCACAGATCAAGTTTTTATTTATCTAATTTTATGACCCAAGCACAAAGCTTACAGGCCATAAATAGATTTTAAAAAAAGCCTGAAGAAGAAGTTTTTGGACAGAGCCCTTCATTTGTCTTTTTTATTTTAAAAAAAATAAAAAAATAACTAAATAAAATCCAACTTACCAGGTACTGGTTCTTGGGGTCTATTGTAACACTCAACACAGGAGCTGCATGACCTTTGAGTATCTTTTGACTTCCATCAGCCACGGTCACTACTTTCACATTAAAATCACTGCAAAATTACAATTAAAGTGTACAATAATTGTAGTTATAGCTTTTATTTCAATATTTGTTGAAATAAACTATGCTGCTGCTAGTAAGTAAATCAATATTTATCAAGTATGATGTTAAAGGATTCTTTTTCCTTCAAATCACCTTAAGTCACCCTTAACAGTTGTGGTGTTATGACTGTTTTCATAAAAAAAAGTGCACTATAAATAATAAATATTATTATTAGGGAACGCGTCCAAATATCGGCATCAGGTCACGCCGATGCCGATCAATCGGGTGCCGATTTTTTCCGATTCCGTTTTCAATCGGTACCGATTGAAACGGAATTGGCACCGTTCAAAATTCTTCATCGGGCCAATTAACAGAATTCATCAAATGTTGACTTATATCTGTCAGCGTTTGTCAAAGGGTTGAAATCGTCGGTCACGCTACGTTACTGACAAAAATTATATAGGGCAATGTTTATGTCAACAAAAGCAAAGCGTGAATGATTGAGTTTTCAATGCACAAACAGGCTGGGTAAGACCAAGTGTTTATCGCCGTATTGTATCTTGTCTTTCTGAAATGTGTATTGTTTCAAAAAAAATTAGCGACAAATGCCTTCATCGAAGAGTTCTTATGGAAGACAATACCAGACAAGATGAAGAATTTTTGTATCGAGCATCTTTAAGCGAAAGATAGCGCGCTGAATGCATTTACGACCTTAGAATCCAAAACGCGTGATTGAAGAATCCTTGCTGGAGGAATTTTAAAATCGTTTAGCCAAGAAAATAGGGGACAGAATACTGTCAGATCAGGCATTCATGACATTGCGTGTACAGGAGCGAACTTGAACCGGCTAGAATCAGGCAAGTTGTTTATTTGCTTGTAAACTTCTCTCGTCGAGTCAAACTCACTGGATCTTTCATTGTTACGTTGATTGCACATTCCGTTGACGCTCCGAATTTTTTAAAAGAAACAACTAATTTTTCGCTCTTTTCTGAAACGAGATAAAACAAAGCTTTCTATAAAATGTATTAACTCGAGTTAAAGAAAGGAAAGAAAACTGCTTTT